AATGCTAATGCCAGGTGATGCTTTGCAGCTTGGGCTTTTCAGTGCTGGGGCCACTATGGCCACACTCAGTGATATTCTCAAGCTAGCAGGGCTACACCCAGCAGTGCTAGAGATGGGGCATATGGTACTGTGAATTAATTCAAATCTCATGCATGCAAGGAATGTACTCGGAGCTTCTCCCCAAACCCTATAACACACACAAAAAATTTAAGATGGTTTTATTTCTACACAAAAGCATTTTTGAATATATATATTTGCACTGAAAAAGTACTTTTATTTATAACACTGTTAATGTTTTGTCATTTGCTAAGTCGGCTTTTGTTCATACTTTTAAATTGGAATAACTTTCTCTCTTAATCCTACCCAAGTTGAAAAATTTGTGCAATTCCTGTCAAAAGAGTCACCATATTGGGATTCACTAATATCAAAACTAAATGAACTGAGTCAAGCTACTGAAAAGACAATACAACTGCATCATTAATTACCATGTATGACTTGAAAATTCTGTCTTGCTAACTCTGACAACAGATAGAATTATAAACTAACAGTAGAAAAGTTTCTGTCCCACCATCATCCCCACCCAGTGGATCAATACATGGGTTACAATGAATTGTTTTGCAAATATATTTTTTTTTGTAAATGTAATAATTTTCAAATCATTGACTTATTCTACATGTTAACAACTGACTGCAGATATTTTCCTCACAGGATATTTAGGCCTATAAAATATGAATGTTTTTGGAAAATAAACAGCTATTACCATTTATATTTTGAGTAGTACTCACACTAATGCAGGCAGAAGGACATAATTAAAGCAATTATTTCAGTTAGCAATAGAAACACAGACAAGGACATATTTAGTAGCCTTGAAGATGTTTTTCCAATCAAGGACATTACACTTTCTATCTTTATCAGGCACAAAAATAAATCAGTTTGGAGGTATAAGAGTGGAGACAGATTTTTAAAAAAAAGGCTGTTGGGCTGAGAGGTAGTACAGCAGGTAGGGCTCTTGCCTTGCACGCAGCCGACGGGGATTGGCTCCCCAGCATCCTATATGGTCCCCCAAGTCCTGCCAGGATTGATTGCTGAATGCAGAGTCAGGAGTAAACCCTGAGCACTGTTAAGTGTGCTCCCCCCTTAAAAAAGACAAAACATCAACAACTAAAAACCCAAGATTAAATTTGCGAGGAAAAAACTTTCTTAACAGGCATCAGGAAGATAAGTACAGGTGCTCTGCAAGGCATGCCAGAGCCTGGTTTGATTTCCAGCACCACATGGCTCCCCTAAGCATTGTAGGTGTAGCCCTAATGGTCTCCTGAGCCCTCCAGGGGATGGTCCTGATGGTCTTGGGCACTGCAGGGCCAGAAGCAGTGCCCTGTCTTTGGGCTCTTACATTGATATTAGTGTTCATTTGTCCAAGAATTGCTGGGAGTGGCCCCTGCGATCCGCTGAGCTTGGGAGACCGCCCGCCACACACCCACCCAAAGTCCCCTAACAAGAAAAGATCTTAGGAAAAATATATAATTTAAATACAAAATTTTGCTCTGTAGCAAAAACGAATGAGATATATCTTGCTAAAAAATCAAGAGATGTAATTAAAATGAAAATTTATGATGGTTCCTTATGAGAGAAAACATAATTTTAGTCTGAATAAACAGTTACAAAATTGTTTGTGATATACTCAGACTTTTGGCATACAGCTTTTCCTTCTCTCCTTAAATTGTATTTATTTGTACTATTATAGTCCAGAGAAACGTTGCTTAATGGCAATATACATGTAGTCTTATAGTTTTACATTTTATTTATAGTCACTTTATAAAAGTAAAAAGACATGTTCCTTTAATATAGCCTAAATATGATTATTTCAATATGTAATCAACATGAAAATTATTAATGCAATGGAATATTTTACATTTTTTGACTGTCTTGAAAATCTTTTATCTTATACTGTGGTCATATATAAATTTGGGGAGGCAGCATTTCAATAGCCTCAAACTTGTGTAGTCACTATTCATGTGACACATTTTAAGTATAGATTAGTATATATTACTAATGGGGCTGTTGGCTATTATTATTGGACAGCAGAGTTCTGTAAAAAACTTTTCTCTACAAAACCTGATTCATATTTCCCCTTTAAATCTTTCATCAATGCATACCTGTTTATATAGTGTTTATCTTATATAAATATTAGTCTAGGACTGCATGAACTTGAGCTTCAATGAAGTTCCTGGCATAGTGATGGTTAAGACAGAATTAATCATTACATTAAACAGCAGAACAACTATTATGGGCCCTGAAATTTCTGAATTGAGGTCAACTGGCCAACTCTTCTGCTGTGTTTAATTGAACATCTTATAAACAATTTTAGCATCAACTGTTTGACTAAATTCCTTCCAATGTGGAACTAATAATCACACAATACCAAAAATACTTGGCTTGAATCTACACTAATCTATACTTAAAACGTGTCACATGAACAGTGACTATACAAGTTTGAGACTCAGTGTTTTAATAACTTGTTCTGTTTTATCAGTTATGATCGTCCCAAGGACATTGTTCAGAGAGCAGCAGCAATTAGCGTCAGCCATCTCCGGAATCAGTGCATGAGTAGTAGCTGGCATCGACATACCAGTGATGAAGATGAGTTCACATAATCAGCAGTATGTAGCACTATGTTATAGGGGCTTTACAGGAGACATTGGGACAAACATGTTTGAGACACTAATACATTCACACAGGGTAACGAGTAAGAATGCGGTATGGTACACGGACTAGATGCTGTGGTTGTCATGAGGAAGTACTCACTTTTTCAGATCATTCTGCTGCTTTTTGGCTTGTGCACGCCACTGGTGCATAGCAGGGAAGAAGCCATTTGTGTATAGTGGAAAAAGTATATCAACTAATAAAAATTGCATTTGACTGAGAAATAATTGGATCACAGCTGTCACTGAATTAATTCCATAAAATTATCAACACAACAGGTGCATTACATTTTATGAATCAGAATTCTTGTTGCTGATTCATAAACTAGCCAGAATTCAACAAGAATATGAAGCATCAAAGAAATCTCTACATTATCTCCATGCAGTAAAATTGTAGCTAACACCTCAAAAACAGTTAATGCAACACTAGACAAGGATTAGAGAAGGAGCTTGGTACACACAAATGTTCTGAATATGAGAAAATGGCAATAATCACAATTTCTTTTTCTAAATTAGAAAATAAAAAATATTTTGCATTAAATTTTGCATTCTAGATTGGGTTAGGATGACAATTTCAGACACTTGAAGAGTATTACTGTATAGCATACAGCAATGCATGATTTTGGGGGAATAGAATTATTGACAACTGGAGCCTATCCTAAGTTGTGAAATTTCCAAAGGATATGCTACTACACAACTATGCAAACTGTAAATTTGGACTGGTCTGATCTAGTGATTTGGTGACTCTACCATTGACATAGAGTAAGTTTCTTTCATCTCTTACAGCGTTCATCTTCAGATGTTCATCTCCAGAGCTGTGAATGAATATTTTGGTTTTGGGTTCTACAAAGGGCAGAATTTTGCTACATAAAATAAGTAAGGGATTGAGAATTGGTAAATTTCAAGTAAAGTTCATCTCAGCTAGATTGTGTGCAATGGGAAAAGCCTCTACACTCATTTTTTGTGGAGTGGGGGAGTCTGGGGCACATCAGTGGTGCTCAGGGCTTACTTGTGGCTCTGTCTCGGGGACTACTCCTGGAAGTGCCTGGGGAACCCCAGGTGGTGCTGCTGAATGAACTTGGGTCAGTCACAGGAAAGCGAGCACCATAACTTCTGCACTATCTCTCTGGCCCCAAATTCTCTTCATTTTGAATGCAAAACTTGTAACATAAAATTCATCTCAAAGTCTGAGGAAATTTAATAACCTCTTTTATTATTCCAGTTTGATGTTATATGTTGTTATAATTATCAGTACTTACAACACAGTGTTTAGAAAAAATAAGACCACACATGTTGGCAGCAGCTGGAATGTGATATGGTATTCTAAAAATAAGTGTATATAATTTTGCTTTTGATATAAATGCCTCTCATGAAGACTGTAAATGGATATTTTTCTAATCTACACATGTTCATATCAGTGGAACAGAATCACTGTATTTACTATATTACATTGCAGAAGAAATGAAATGTTTAAGATAACAATCTAATCTAAATTATAAGATAAATGCAAGTAAAATATTTTTCATTTAAGAATTTAAAACTGAGTTCCACAGAGTGGTGATGAATATATTATACATATTTATGTGGATTTTACAGGGTGTTTCAAAAGTTCCTGAGGACATTTAAGATTTACAATCTCAGCGTGTCTTTGCATACAAATGCAAACTTTTCCTATACTTGCTATAATAAATGCTGAAAATGGTCCCCTCATGTTCTTATTATTGGGACGATATTTTTGTTGTAGAGGTCACTAAGTATGAGGGGTCACAAATGCCATTTTCTGCGTGGGAATTCAGGGACTTCTGGCTCATTCCTGTAAATAAGTTCTCCACATAAATATGTATACACATATGTAGTATGCATAGTCACAACATAAATATATTTAACATTTAAGAAAATTTAGATATTCTACTGGTAAACTGACATATGTATAAAATATAATTTAGATTTATTCATAGGAATTTGTTTTGTTGTTTTTCAAAAGTAACATTAGCTTACATTGTTCTTTCCCAAAGTTTTTAACAAGACTCCTTTATAAGGAAGCAGCATGTCTTACTTGCACGAATATTTTTTTTAAGCTAAAGTAATGAAAGTTAATATTCATAAATAACTAAATGGTGTAAAAATTTGTTTAGCAATTTTGGTTTCATTTTATCATGTATAATTGTTTCGTTGAAACTGTGCTTTATAAAAATTTGTTTTGAGTTAATGTTTTTTTTTTTTTGCTAGTTAATCATCACAATGTCTGATATATTAACATATGTCAGCTTCCTACAGAAACCCTATGGGTCTGCCCACCTGTGATGTCATAGTTAGGAGGGGCTTTTCCTCGGCAGACTCCGCCCTCGGTATCTCCTTCATCACCATGGCAACAGCCTTATCTGCCGCCCTAGAGCCTTTTCCCTATAACAGTGAAATCAACAATGACTTGTGTCAGGAGAAATCTTGCACTTATTATTTATTACAAGAAATTCTAATGTTTAAAGAGCAATCCAACATAAATGAAGAGGTAGGCTGCTGCAACTGAATCTTGAGGCTTTGGGCTGAGGAGAAAACACACAAAATCTGAAAAAAGATTATTTGTGAAGTTGTTGTTAGCTTGATGGCTGACATACTGTATTTAATTTTAACATAGTATTTTTATATGTATAAGATTTTAAAGCAATTTACGTGAGATGAACATAATTTTTAATAGTATAGGTTTAAAACGTTATGGATTGTCTAGTTTGCTCATTATGCATTATCACTATGAAATCATTAAATGTTTTGGACAAAAGTGTCTGGGATAGTGATTAGGATCTGAGTTGGCCTCCTATGGAAAGCTTTTGTGCTGAATTATCTCTGTATCTGCTGTTTTGAGAGAACTAGGCATAAAAAAGAGTAAAAGTGTCACAAAATCTTCCAAAATCCTTTGGTGGCCCAACATCAGAGAAATATAACCAGCTAGTTTATTTTGTGGAGTTAAAAACAAATTCATGGGGAAAAAAATTCAATTCTCAATTTCTGAGGCCAAATAATTTTATTAAAACTAAAAAAATTATTTTATTTGAAGGATTACATAAATCCAGATGTAAATGAATGATGTTTCTTAATTGAGGCACTGAAATACATACACATATGTGTGTATACATTTAAACATTTTTTTTATCTCATTCAAGTAGAATTATGGACTGTAAAGGAGCATGCTAGATTTTTTTTCTTTTTAATTTACCACATCACTAAGTTTTTGAGAGTAGATATGGCACAATGGAGAAAACAAAATATTACATATCCAACCCAATCAGAAACATCTCATACTATGTAAAAATTAAATAATCTTTAAACATTTTAAAAATGAAACAAGAAAATGTCATTTTCTCAGGTTTGCAGACACAGCCTTCCTAAAGAAAATAATTTTATACTAAACACATATGAGTGTCTGTGTTGTAAATCTACTTAAAGTAGTACTGTAGCATAAAGAGATATCATATGCAGAACAAATATAAAAACAAACAACGGGGATCCATAATCTGAAAGGGAATTTAGAGCTAGGGTCAGTATTAACTCAGTGGATTGGTAACTCTTCATAGATCCTATGCAATGAGAAAAGATAAAATTACATTTTTTATCTGGGGATTGCATGGGGATTTATGGATTCTGAAAGTTAATTTAGGTCTCAAAACACTGTTCACTTTCCCAGGTACTGCTTTCCTACAGTGGCTTCTTTTATTTTTGAAAACATAGAAAAAATTTCTGAATAGTTACTAGATTTTAAAATGTGTGAATCTTTTCACAATGCTGAAGTTTGATTCTTTAGTTTGTTTTGATTTAATAACTGGCATGAATAAATGATGATGTGTTATTTCCATAAAGGAATATCAACTACTAGACATTTTATTCAGTTGACATAACGATAGCAATTTTCATGTGTGTTCTGAAAAGGTCATAATAGCTAAAGTAAATGATTTCAGGAATAATAACGGGAAACAATGAGTTATTTCATAGGAAATTGGGGGTGTAAAATAATCCCAATGTTTTTCTTTAGTGAACCATTGTGATGCTGTTAACATAGAGATGTATACAGGTCTGACTACGGGAAAAGATTTGTTATGGCATTATTAAATTATTTAACATTTTTCAAAATAGAAAGTTATTTGGATGAAACATTACATCGTATAAGCTTAGTATATGTTTATAAACTATACTCATTTACAAACTGAATAAGGTTTTACAAATATTTTTGCAGCTTTATTTTTCAGAAGAGTAAAATTTTTTGTGAGGAATTCTTTCCATGCTCCAAGAAATTCTAATAATACAGCAATAAAGAAAGTGGCATGCTTAGAATTTAAATTCCTACTATATTTAAAAATAACAAATATAATGTCACAAGGTATAATTAAAAAATAACTCAGACTCTTCTTGAGCTAAGAAAAAAAATGTAATTGATAAGCATCTCAAAAAATTTTGGTTCAATACTTCAATATTCCATTTATTTGAAATGCTACCAATCCAGAAACTACAGAGAGGTATTTTTTTCATAGGTGCAACTATAATAGCTAGAGTTAGCAACGGACATGCCATTTCACTAAAACAAAAAGAAAACCAAAACAAAAATTAGTCCTTTCATGCTGAACTCTAGAATAAAGCAGTGGTCAGCTAGAAAGGATGTATAATAAACACATGCGGTGCTTTTATTTCTTGCAGAAAAACCCACCAAAGCCAGGGTCAGGTCACTTTTTTGAAGACAGTGCCACTTTTTCTTCAAGGTTACACCTACTACCTGAAAAGAGGCATGACACCTTTGTTAGTGCCTGCTACCGGGTTTTTTGGTTTTCTTATAGCCTGTTGACTTTTGAGATATTACCCCACGCACTTCAGTGTTTTACAAGTGTGATGTAGTCCAAGAACAGACGGAAACTCTGCGGCAGTGATAGCTCCATGCGTCCAGATAGTGTCTAAACCCACTGCCAACCCAACTGAACATTCTCATATATCAAAGCGCGCTTCTCCCAGATCGGATCGCCTTCTCCACCTGGTATCTTAAAATCAAGCTGTGTTATTCCTGACTAGTCCATTTATCTTGCGGATAATGCATCTGGACTTCAGAACCTGGCTGATAATTGGTATGGTAATTTATGAAACTATACGACTTTGCTTCTCCGCAACTCTGGAGCTCTGACCGTAATGCGGAAGTGCAGGCTTTTTCTCTTTTTCTCTTTTGAAGGCAGCAGTTTAAAACCATTGGAAGAACTATATACTCATGATTATGCAAACTTCGAGTTCATTTTTTAAACAGAACCATGTCAAAGGGTAGATATTAATTTATTATTTGAAATAACACAAAGGCAGCAAAAATAAAAAAATACTCTCAGCATAAGTGGATTTAGATTACATTCAGTCTGTATGTTTCCACATCACTTTTAGCAATGACAGAAGAGTGAACCTTCATAAGTTGATTATCCCATCCTGACACCTTTTAGCAAGATTGCAGCTTATTTCTATTCAAATCATACTTAAAAGTCAAAACCCCACTTCCTTGTTGAATTTTTTGAGATAGTTTTTATTGAAAACAGAATCAGCATAGATAAATTTCTGTTTTTTTTCTTGGTACTTTGCCATAGCAAATTATTTGTAGAAAATTAAAATTTTTCCATTTTATCATTTTTATTTTTTCTAATAAACTATATACACCAGCAGCTTCTCTAACAAATTAAAAATTCTTGCAACTCAACATTTCCATATTCACTTTTACTGTAAGATGAAGCATACCAAATGGAAGGTAACAAAATGGCATTATTTATGAAGAACACAATTTTCACCTCTTCTCTTTTAAAATATACCATGTAAGAAACACGAACATTGGAATCACAAAATCTTCTCAGGCAAGACACCAGGCTGGGAGGAGACCAGATGTCTTCAGATGAGGAGGTGTTAGCTCCAAATCTGTCTCCCGGGGAAGGGAACTAGCCTAATTGGAGATGCTATGATGGCTCTGCACTCTGCTAAGCATTTCATGTTTTTCAGCTTATCTTGTCTCTGGAGAGCTCTCTGGAGTCTAGCTGACTATCTCTGCTAAAGCTCAAGTTAGACCTACTGTGATTTGTTCCTCACAGCGAGGATGTGGCTGAGCCAGGGTGAGATCCAGGCCTCCTTTGTAGCCCGCCTGCATCCTTCTCTGCCATCAACATCCTTCCCCAGAGGGCAGATTCTCCTACACAGCTCACTGCCAGGTCACCCTGACAGCTACATATTGTAAGACTGTTCCATGATTCAGGTTTGAGGCAGCAGCCACCTCTTAGCATTATCACACAGTTAAGACCTAAACTAAGGGGGATGGAATGCTTGCCTTGCATGTAGTCAACCTGAGTTCAATCCCTGGCACCCCATATGGTTCCCTGGAGAGTGATCCCTGGACCAAAAAGATGATGTCAGGAGTAAGCCCTGAGCATAGTTAAGTGTGTACCCCCTAAAAACAAACAAACAAAACCCCCATAAAAACAAACAGAAAGATTCTAAATATTTTTTGAGAAGTATTTTCTTTGGTCTGCAACAATCCATGAACACAAGTCACCCATTATGAGTGTATTTTTTCTTTGAAGAGGCCATATACAGCAGTGCTTAGGGTTACTCCTAGTGGGCCTTGGGGGACCATATGCTGGGGATCAATCCTGTGCTGACTTTGTGCAAGGCAAGCACCTCACCTGCTGTACTATGGTTCTGACCTTAGAAACCTATTTTTGATGATAAAATCTTTTTGTTTCTTCACCTTCAAGAAAAACGAACGTAAGTATTTCATGTACATGCACTTTAAGAAATTCTGCAGATGTTAGAAGGTTTAGATGTGAGCATCTCCCTAATTTTCACTAAATGCTAACTTAATGCTACCAAGCATTATTTGTCCTAAGATTTTTGCTGAGATCTACTTTGGGTGCATGAAATATTAAAAGTATTTTATAATTCCACAGTCCATTCATTAGCAATTTTGTAGTTGCAGATTCTATCCTTGGTACTATAGTTTCTAATTTAAAGTATTTTTTATGATTATCAATAAGAACCTTGAGTTCCTAACAGAGATAAAAGAGAAATGGAAGTATATAACACTAGGGGAATAGTAAAGACTACAATGCTAGACATCTCTGCTAACCTCAAATTACATGGTATGTAAATATAAAAAAATAGCTTTGCTTTTGATTATCAGAATTATATACTATTGTGAGAATTGAGAAAATGAGCACTGTAGCACTGTCTTCCCGTTGTTTATTGATTTGCTCGAGTGGGCCCAGTAACGTCTCCATTGTGAGACTTGTTGTAACTGTGTTTGGCATATCTAATACGTCATGGGTAGCTTGCCAGGCTTTGAGAAAATAAGAAAACAAAAAAATATATTACTGCCAGATGATTAAAATAAAAAAATAAAAATAGCA